AAAAAATCTCAGTGACATGTCTTCAAAGTTGGTTTGTTTCCACTAATTTAGCTAATAGTGGTGTAGATTAACCACTGTTTTTAGGTATGGATGATATTGGCAACCCACAGTTAATTTAAGGTGGAAGTCAAAGCTTCCAAACTCATTCTTGAAGGCTCATTATAGTTGGAGGGGAAATATTCAAAGTTCAGCCTTGTTTTGTAAAGCTAAACTATAGTGTCAGTTAGACCAATAGACCAATATGTCAGTTTTGTATGCATTCTCATTATTTTAATGTGCTTGCTATATAAAATTTATTAATGGTGAGAACAAATAACTTTTTGAAAATGCCTATTTGATTGGACCGCTTCCAGTTCCAGACTATTTCTCAAAGTTATGCAAGGAATCATGGCACTCAGATGCTTGGAATCCTTCTCATTAAATTTTATGTTCCCGCATGATGTAATTACTTCCAGTCAAAGCCTCTTCATCTTGTGCATGAAGCTTTTAGAAATGTACAGATACCACTAGGACTTGGTTAGTGATGCCAGGAATAGCACCATGGCATCTTTGTTGATCTTAGCTCAGAACATTATATCCTGTTGGAATAGCATTCTGACCTAGTCAAAATAAAGGTTATTTATTATTGTTCCTAATCCCACTACTTTTAAGGACATGTTATCTGGAGTTCATAACTTATCTTAGGAAAATCTTATCTGAGCTAATAAACTCTGAATATTCACCATAGAGCACAGTCATTCAGCACAGGTGTTGTTTTAATTAGGACACATGGGAAAGCTCATGTTCTATGACCTCAGATCCCTCATTTCTCTCTGTTCAGTGAGAAAAACTACTGAAAATCTGGAACATCATGCACTTAAAGCTATGGAAATTTTATGAGTTCATATTAGCTTCTGCTAGAGGTATACTCACAAGGGTTGAGCATTGGACTACAACTTGGAGACAAGTCATGCTCAGAGCTCCAGAAGCCCCCATGATAGCCTTAGGGTCACCATAAGTTGGAAATTATTTGAAGGCACACAGCGATGACAATGATCACAAGGAGAATTATACTTGTTATACATGAATTTTCAAGGAAAATACTGCTCATAAATTGACAACTGTGAAATATTGTGGATTGCAGTTTGGACCTGACCATACAACCTGGTCATTGAATTTGCTGGGTGGTCATGAGTAAATCATTGGTGCTTCTGATGACATCTTGCTAACAGCAGAACAGATGCTATAGATAGATCAATTCTCCCCTCCCTCTACTTCCTCTCCCCATCTGTCATAGATCAGTTATGGAGGGTTGCAAGACCCTCTGGAGCAGATTGGGGGTTAGTGAAGGGGAATATATGGAAGAGGTAAGGATGAAAACATCCAGTAAGTATACCAAAGACTTCTTACATAACATTGAATTTAGCCCAAGATTGTAATCTTGCAGCTGACTTACTTCAAACATGGAATTTTACATTCCTTTTTGTAAACTTCCCATGCTGGCTCACTACCTATTCCTTGTAGAGAGATCTTGTAGCACCTTTGAGACTAAGGGGCTTGACAGACCGCCCCTAATAGGGGGCTCCACGCTGCCCCTGAAAGCGTTGGGTTGGTGATGAAGCAACCGCACACTATAGCCCCAACCTGGCTGCTCCTCGGCGCAAAAAGAAGCCGCAAAAAGCAGCTCTTTTTTGTGCTGCAGAAAGGGCACCCATGCCACAGCTGTGGTCACTTTTCTGTGCTCCTTTAGCGCAGCGCATGTAGACACTGTACCAAGGGAACGCCCTGACACCTCCCACCGTGCAGTAGGGCACGCAGCATGAAGCTGGCATGGGGGCAGATTCGTGGTGGCTGCTGTGCAGTCGTCATGCCCCTCTCTCTGCCCCCAGGCCAGCTCTTTATGCCGGTCTATACAGCCCCAAACTGAAAGAAAGAAGATTATGGAGGAAAATACATAATGGGGGAGGGGGCAATATATTTTGATTGATACAGCTAGGAGTCCCTTATCTGAAAGCATGCACTCTCAGCCTCATTTTATGAGATGATTGTAATTTGGTACAGATATATTGCTATCTTCCATGAACAGGAAATAAGCTTTCCTTGTCTAACATACAATAATGTTAATATACAATATATAGCTATTAATTAGTTTAGTACGCGCTATTTATTTAAAACATTTCTGTATTGCCTATAGGGTCATAAAATCTTCTCAAGGGAGTTTACACAAAATAATAAAATATACAAATCATATCATTAAAGCATACAAAAATCAGTATAGAAATGATAAAATGTATATCTAAAAGAGACAGTATTCAAAGATGTAGCTATGTTACTCTGGAAAATCAGTATGCAAAGGGATCTTGTACCATTTTTAAGATTGACTAAGGGCCTTTACAGACTTCCAGAAATAATGCAACTTGAGTCCACTTTAACTTCCCCAGCTCAGTGCTAGGGAATCATGGGAACTGTAGTTTATTGTGGCACCAGAGCTCTCTGACAGAGAAGGCTCAATGTCTCAGAAAAAAGTACATGATTCCCTAGCACTGAGCCAGGGCAGTTAAAGTGGACTCAAGTTGCATTATTTCTGGCAGTCTGTAAAGGCCCAAAGAGAGAAATTCGTAGACTTGAGCTTACCACATGCATGTTTTAAAAACCTGCATCTGAGAAAGTAGGCTCAAGTCTACAAAAGCTCATGCTACCAACTTCTTTCAGTTAGTCTCAAAGGTGCTACAAGATCCCTTTGCATACCAAAATAGACAGTATTAAATATGCTGAGCTATGTAGATGACACTACCATCCCAACAAAACCGTAGCCCAAACTTCAAGATGACTTCTCCAAGTGATTTCTTGTAGAATGTAAGCAAATGCATGAGGGGCATTAGCAATTTTCTCTGAAAGGGACATTGCTTCACTTCTTATCACAATTTTTGGCCAAGTTTTTAGAGGCTTGAGGGGTTTGTGCAAGCCAAAACACATTTGTGGGCAGTTCTCTGGCATTTGGGGAGTGAAAGATCACCTGAAAATGAGCTTGAATTTAAAAAAAAAATAGGTGGGATTTAAAAAAAATAGGGGACTGCCATGGGGCTTTGGGGGCTGCAAAAAAGGAGTTCAGGGGCCACTCAAAAGCAGTCCCACCTGGTAAATAGATGTAAACCAGTAGTATCCAAACATTGATCCCCACATTGTGAACTACAAATTTGATCATGCTAGCTGGGACTTCTAGTATTTTAAGCCCAACAACATCTGAGGACACAGCTGTGGGCATCTCTACAATGAACCATTCAACTATGTGTAGTGTAGCTGCATGGTACATTGTTCATTTCAAGACTCCTTTGTGTCAGAGGAAAGTAAGAGGGTACTTTAACTGGAAAGAACATCCCCCCAACTACTTGTTCTTCCACTCTCAGGGTTGTGGATCCATTTTCAAGGTATACATGGTTCTTGGACACTAGAAGGAGTAAAAGTAACTTTAAGAAGTTTGGGGGAGGAACAGCTGGCAGGGGAATTGTAAAAGGTATTTATTACTCTGTTCCTAATCTATTGCAAAGCAACTTCTCTCAGTAATTAGTAGTTTGGCCCTTAAGAGTTCTTACACTCAAGAATTATTGAGGCTAGTGAAGTGGAGGAAAGAATACTAGTTGGCAAAGTGCATTATTGTACTACAATTTTTTAAAATTAGCCTATCAGCAACAGTCCTAAGGAGTTTGTCACACAGGGGAAATCCTGTGCAGAAACGGGATTTAAAAGGTGGGGGAAACCCGCAAAAGCACATTGCTGTTAAAATGGGGTTAACCCGAATGGAAAGTAATCAGAAACTGCTGCTTTTTACTTTCGGGATTTTCCGAAAGTAAAAAGAAGTTTTTGACTACTTTCCGTTCGGGTTAACCCCATTTTAACAGCGACGTCGTCTGAAAATCTGCCCGCTTTTGCGGGTTTTTTTCAATTTAAAACCCCGTTTCTGCATGGAATTTCCCCCGTGTGATAAACTATTAAGTCTGACTGAACAACAAAAATGAATGTCAAGTAAACTAATGCCCATTGTATTCTAAATGTTCTTATTCCTTTAATACGACTATGAAGTCATCCTTGCTTCCTGTAAAAACTGTTTTTAATAGAATTATTATCATCTGGCACTAATTTCTTCTGGGCTGTTGAGTAACTTATGACGCCAAGTCAGTCTGACCACTTTTCTTGTCCTTTCACATTACTCCCAGCACCTGATGAGTGTTTTGCTATACCATTGTTTTAACATAGACTTTCTTACAGAGAGGATTTATTCTAGATTATGCTTGTTGTTTGCCACTGAAAAATCTAATTCATTCAGACACTAAATTTCAAACATTCTCCTTAAAATAAGTGAATATAAATATGTACTTTTTTTTAATTAGGGAGAAGAAATTTATTTGCTTGCTTTATTTCTATGCTGTATTTCTCCCAGAAAGGGACCCAAGACAGCTCACAGAATAGGCAATATGTTTCAAAACTAAGGGCCTTTGCAGACTGTCAGAAATAGTGCAAATTGAATCCACTTTAACTGCTCTGACTCAGTGCTAAGGAATCATGGGAACTGTAGTTTATTGTGGCACCAGAGCTCTCTGACAGAGAAGGCTCAATGTCTCAGAAAAAAACCAATTCCCATGATTCCCTAGCACTAACCCTAACCCTAAAAGTGGACTCAATTTGCACTATTTCTGGCAGTCTGCAACTCCCCTAAGTCAGATCTTGCTTGTCATCGTCCTAAAGATATCTGCCTGACAATATTTGGAAACATCATTGGGATGGGGAATTCCCCTCCTCCCCATTTTCTTCATTAGAGCTCCTAATTTTTTGCTGATTCCCGACCCTCATTATAGCTCAGTCCATTCCTTAGGTTCTCTCTCCTGTCTGCATAACATTTTCATGCGCAATTGTTGTTCTTATTGTGCCTCCAAGCTGTTTCCAGCTTATAGCAACCCTAAGTGAACCTATCACAGGGTTTTCTGGGGTGTATGACTTGTCTAAGGTCACCCAATGGGCTTCCATGGCCAAGCAGGGAATCGAACTCTGATCTCCAGAGTAGTAGTCCAATGCTCAAACCACTACACTACATGAGATTGATGTTTGAACTTGACAGATGTAGCACTATACTGAGCTTTATATTCATTATCCAAAGCACCCATTTCTCTCCTTATTTAGAATCCCATTCCCCCACTTAGTAATGCCAACCAACATTTTTATTTTTTTCATAAGTTTATGCACATTACATTGGAGTTAGCTCACACCAAGGAACCATGTGAGATTTAAAATCATGTATGGTGAATTAATCTTTAAAAATTGTACTAGTGAGGTTTGTGGTTGTCACCCAAGCTGCTGTAGCCAGATTCAAGTCAAAATCCAAAGAGATGGCTTCCTAGAAGCCAAGGGGATGGGGGCATACCAGAACTGATCAGAACACTTCAAAATTAGGCAAAGTGGTTTTGGTAATTGTTCAAGTTGCAGTGGCTGCTTTCAAGTGAGAATTCCAAATGGAGAGGGAAGATTGGCATAACCCTTTGAAAAATAATTTTTTTGAATGACAGAGGGACTTTTGCAGACTGCCAGAAATAGTGCAAATTGAGTCCACTT